TTGCGCATATGGTGGTACTACTCTTGGTAACAACTTTCTTTCGCATCACATGTCAAACCACATTGTTCGTGGGGAGATGGCCTAGCCGATCGGGCGTGATCGGACTCCGTGCTAACAAAGACGGTGGTATATCGGTGCTAATGATCTCCCAACCAAAATTATATATGAAGTTCGTATTTTGAAAATTATTATGTTTTAACTGGACATTTGGATATTGTTGATTGTGACTTGCTGTTTCTATGTGTTGCCTTTTCTTATATGGGCATTCTATTTTGAAAGAGGATTTTTAGCTATACATACTAGTGCTATTCGACAGTACTAACGTCCCTTTTGCCGGGGGCGCTGCATCTTTAATGGATGCAGGTGGTTCTTCAGCAGGCGACATTGATCAGTGATAGCAGTACACTCTTTTCAGCTGATTTGGTGAGCCCCACTTCATTTCGGGGTCATGTATCTTTTGTTTCTCATGTACTGTGTTTTGAGGTATAGCCGGGGCCTTGTTGCCGGCATTTCCATATTACTCTTCTATTGTACTTAGAGGCTCCGTAGACAGGTTGTGGGTTATGGTTGATGTTGGGAATTGAACTAGAAATGTTGGTACTTGGAAATTATATTTTTCATTAATTCTATAAACTCATAATGTTTTGGAAATTATGAATGAAGCTACTAATGGGAATGAAAAGGAAGTTGTTAATAAAATCTTTTCAGTGAATGATTAATGGAGTACATCTCCTCTTTATTAATGGATGAGTTTGGGTAGAAGAAAATCTAATAGGCTTGCTCGGTCGGTTTCTCTCGGTTGAGCGCCGGTCACGCTCCCCGAGTTTGGGGCGTGACAAATATGAACTTCCCTTTATGTCTCGTTATCAAACACATGTAGCTACGAGATTATGCCAAAATAAAGGAAAGGTTTAGCCTTAACATACCTTATCACAATATGTCCTATAACTACGTTAAACTCGTTTCGTTGCACCTTAATCTATAACAATGATAACAATACTATCATCAAGTTATAGAAGGTACATCTATCGCATAACGAACGACAAACTTATTTTATAATAAAACATGCAACATCTCCCCTATAATCTTTACTTCCTCCCAATTCGGCATAACATCAACAACAACAAGAACACAACAATAACAACATGTATACATCATTTTTCAACCTTATATCCATCACAAAATACCACAAAACAGCCCACACACCCCAATCAATTCATACAGAAAAAGACAACCTTAGTAGTGTCAAACAACCCGAAAATATAATGACGAATGACCAGCCAACCACCTTGCCATTATGTGGTATTTCTACACACCCTTTATACTCCCAAACTCCATAAAAACAGTAGATAAAGAGACAACCTAACAGCAACACGAAACAGCTCACAAAACAGTCCCACAAGTTCAGCAACTCAAAACTGATTTTTCAGTTTACTAAAACACGTTTCGACTTGTCTTTTCTTTCAAATTGAGCAACACAACCAACAGTACATAATTAAGACTCTTATCCTATAAACCAGCCATGAATTAAACTTAAAAATAAGTTCACAACAAGCTAACAATGATGCAACAACAAACAACATACCACTCTTTCGAAACTCGCTAGGTCTAGTCTTTGTGATCGAGTTACAACTCATACAAGCATAGATAATGGAAGGAGAAGCATAAATTTACCTTGGACTGAGTAGAGCCCACGAAACCTAGTCCTTATTCATCCAAAAATCAGTCCCCTAACGCAGCTACAAGAAGGAGAAAGAGAAACTAGCAAGTTGTCCAGGATTTTTGCCACAAGAATCACATCGTATCACCCGAAATTACCTAGGGTTTGTGCAGGATTTTTGGGGAGGAGTAGCAGGGGTTCAATATGATTTTGTTGGTCTGAGAAGTGAGTGAAAGAAATGAATTAATAATTCCTTAAAAGTCCCCTCTTGGCCGACTTTAGGAGCTTTTAATTTAGGCCGCTCCTTTTTGGCAAGTAGGTGATGCACCTACTTGTCACCTACCAGTCTTTGCAGTCTCGCGAAAATATGAATATCTCTCTACTCCAATGTTGTATCATTGAACGGTTTAATCCATTGAAAACTAGACTCGTAGTTCTTCAATTTGGTAGGTATAGCATCTCATATTTCCAAGTACATTGGGATAAATGATCAGCTACATTTGACCTAATTTTCAGCATATTTATGAATATAACTTGTGATGATCTTTGCCAACTTTTGTTCCACAACTCGCTTGACTTCAAAACATAATACACGACTATCATAAGACTAAAATAGCTCATAACATAACCTCCTTATCATTTTGAGCACCCTAGTCTCACCCCAAAAGTACATGTTATAACATTCCCAACTTGTCGACTTTCGACGAAACTTATTTTCTTCAATTCGTTTAGTTTCTAAGTCTTCCAATCCTCTTGGTACTTGCAGTTCATGATCTTAAATATTTATAACCTCCAAGTTAATATGATTAACTTACTTTATGTACTTTCAAAGATGATCTCATTTCTGATCTTACATCAATTGACTTACGACACACTCTCACATACGAAAATATGGGGTGTAACAAAAGCCAAGTTTACAGAATGTACCTCACAAATGGCCAGATACATTACAACTACTGGAAGGATACACTCCATGCTTGAAGGTCACGAAGGTGGTTTGGGATTTCCTGATGAAGGGTGGATGAAAGTCAATACTGATGGGGCATCAAAGGCCAATCCAAGCAGGAGCGCAATTGGCTTTGTAGTAAGGGATGAAGAAGGAGATGTCGTTTTTACACTAGGAAAGGAAATTCAGGAGGTTACGAATACTGAGGCTGAAGCACTTGCAATTCTACAAGAACTAAGACACTGCGTACAACATGGATATACACAAATCTTATTGCAAACTGACTCCATGCTATTGAAGAATGTGGTGGAAGGTACGTGGTGCACACCTTGGTAGTGGCTGCATACATTGAAGAGATCAAGGTCATCATGGAAAGATGCAATGTCTCACATATCATGCGGGAGGGTAACAAGTTGGCAGATTACTTAGCAAATCATGCCCTCGATAATGGCTTTATTGAGGTGAACACCTTTGATCAATTAGATGCACAAGGTAGAAGAATCGTTAATAGTGATAAATCACAATGCCCATACTTACGGATAAATATTGCCACGCGTTGAGTGATATGGAGATAGGAGGTGAGGAGATACAAAAGGGAAAAAAAGGTGGAGGAAACTATGGGCAATCGATCTCAAATCCATCTGGAGGGGAGGAATAGTAAGGACATGGAGAAGGCAAGATTCATTGACTCGGTTCATCATGTTCAAATCCTTATGGAGGAGAGCAGGGCGAGCTTTCTTTTTTCTAACTTTGTGTTCTTTTTTGCAGGAGATGCTACTGTATCCATGCCTTACCATTTAACACGAATTCAATGGGTGGTATTAGCACTTTGTGCTCATTCCCTTGAACAAATGTTGATGGTAAGCACAAGCATGGAGACAACAAGACAAGAGGCAGCTGGACAGTTCAAACCAACACTGGCCAGATTTCTTTTGGTCAATCTCGATGACTATAATTATTGGACAAAAATGTGGAGTCTCCAATGCAATATTGGTTTGTTTTGGCTAGAAGATACATATACCAACATAGGATATAAGATCATATGGGATAGAGGTGACCGTTTGAAGCAAACAATGCCCAGTGGCCTGTTGGGCAGTATTGCGGGAGCCTTAGATCATCATTACAAGAAATACCATGTACATCTATTACCTAAGATATTAGAGAATAGATCTTATGGTTGGATTTTATGGGACCAAACAAGGATCATGCACGACAACTGGATGTCAACTTGCTTGGGCAACAGGAATGCACAAGGACCGGCAGTGCAAAATACACCAATTACGCAGAAAGTACTTTGTCCAGTCTTAATGATAAGTGTTTGTAAGCTATCTTCTCAACATGGAGGACAATATGATCAACCAAAATGCTGCTACTTACACTCACAGTCACAAGAGGATCTGGAACCAAACTACTGGCGAACAATTCTGCCCAGAATCTGGACATACAAGAGGATACGTTTGAAAATGATGAATTTTCAATTTTGGAGGACAAATGCATACATATTTGATTACTCCACAGGGCTAGTTTTTATGCAGTTTTATTGCTATCTTAGTAGACCAATGCCATGCTACTATTAGATCAAAATGTATTATCAATATTGAGTATCTCTTACTCAAATTTGGTATTAGGCTTTATGTAATTTTCATTGATTATCTCCTTACATTTTGTAAGGCATCACATTATTTTGTATTTTGTTTTGATATTAAATATATATATAAAAACTTGCCCTAGGCACTTTGCCTAGTGGATTTTCTTAAAAAAAAAAATCAGCCGTCCATCCCCAACCAAATAACGACCAGTGAATTTTAGCACGCGTGATGCCCTTGTACTTTCTATTAGAAAAGTATCCAAAGAAATCCTTTATGGTGATATTTATACAATAAACCAAGAGTCGTATATATGGAACCTCTTTTTGATTTTCCTATCATGTCAAAATTCCTAAACTTGGGTGAATCACCTCATTCATAGAGCACAATGAAAAAACTAAAACTTCAGTACCATAGTTAAAGTCAAAGCAATTCCGTCTGCTTTGGGCTTAGCATGATTTCGATGTCAGCGTTTCAAAACTAATCTCAACTTGTAAATAGAAGGAAAAGAAACTTATAAATAGAAACAAAAGTAGCTTAGAGTTACTGCTTTTAACTTGTGTGAAACGTTTTTGATTAGACTGTGGTCGTCATAGGACTATCCAATCCCATGACAGACGATTTTGACTTGTGTGCAAACCCACAATTTGAGTACTAACGTCAACTCGTAAATATATAGTGCATCTTAAAACACGTGATTGAATGGCAGACAACCAGCGTAGGCCGCTGACTTCATGCTCATGGATAGAAGCATGCTGAAAACGAGTTCTCTCATACGATAAAGAGTATTGAAACGTATGGCAAAGTATAACATGAAATGGGACTTCCCAACAATGACATATCAACAGTTCACTAAAAGTTTCCCCATAAAAGAGCTCAACCTTACTTTCAGTTACCTCTTCATGAGAAGATGCCTACATAACTAAAAGAAAAAAGATCACTAACCTATATCTAGGTAGCCTAAATCACAGACATAGATGCATGGAGTCTTGCCTAATGCTTTATTGTTCTTCTATAAGATAAATTGACAATGAAAGTCAAATTTCTGTGACATAACAAAATATTATTACTGCTAAGTGAGAAGATTGCATTAAGCCTGAGAAAGCACAAGCCTCTACCGTCTTACTTTGTACAATTTCATAACTAAACACTTGTATTACCTATGCATTGTATGTGGCATTGGATACGTCATTGGACCCATGTTCATTGGAGCACCAGGAACAACTGCCCCAGGAAGTGGAGGCCGGACACCATATGCCATATGTGTTGATGGTGGAAGATTCACTGGCGTGCCAACTGCAGAAACAAAGGGTCCTCCTATTGGTTGTCCAATGCTAGTTGCTCCATATATACCAACGCCAGGAGGAGCAGCTAATGCAGGTGTTGGTTGTTTGCTCTGTTTGCTAGAACTTCCTGCAGCAGAACCATTTGATTGGCCAGTAATCGGACCTTGAGGCACTGAAACTTCTCCAGTGTTAACACTGGTAATGTCATGTATGCTTGACCGTCTCCTGTCCCTATTCATAGAATTTAAACGTATGAAGTATTTTTGAGCATGACTGGCCACTTGTGTAGGAGTACGTGTCACAACAAAATTTCGTGAAATACTTCGCCAATCACCTTTCCCGTATTTGTCCAAACCAAGAAGGAACAATCTGTTTCAGAACCAAGAAGAAAAAGGCATTTATGAGATCAATTGCTACTTCTGCTTCAAAGACAAGAGTTAGCTTCAACAGACACAAATAGCACAGCAGTAAAAAAAGACAAGAAAGAGAACAATAGTCTTTCAGATTAATGCAGCACTTTTCAACTTTGTCATAGAGCGCATTGCACACAAGAAAGCTCACCAAGCATCGCATGAAAGAGCATATTTTTCAGGTAAACCAGGAAAGGATATAGATTGACGACATAAAAATTGAAATTTTGTTCAGCGGTCCTCAAAAAGCAAAAATGTCATTGAGAATATATATTTTCACTTCGAGTCAAGAACTCCCATGTCCAGAAGATAGAAAGTGACGGAAATGAGGATGCTGAGATGGATGTGCGGGCACACCAGGCTGAATAAAATTAGGAATCAAGTTATTCGGGACAAGGTGAGAGTGGCTCCAGTGGACACAAGATGAGGGAAGCGAGACTTAGATGATTCGGACATGTGAAGAGGAGAGGTGTCGATGCCCCAGTAAAAAAGTGTGAGAGGTTGGTCGTGGAGGGCCTAAGGAGAGGTAGGGGTAGACCGAAGAAGTATTTGGGAGAGGCGATTAGGCAAGACATGTCGATGCTCCAGCTCACCGAGAACATGACCCTTGATAGGAAGATGTGCAGGTCGAGAATTAGGGTAGAAGGTTAGGTAGCCGAGCATCTTCTTCGTACCAGTAGTTCTAGTGCACTATTTAGTGCTAGTCTTGTATTTCTTGTTCTCATATTCCTGTTATTACTTGTTGATTCTTGCACTTTGGTTTTCTGATTGCCTTGCTGGTATTGCTGCTTATTGTTATTTCCTGCTTTTACCTTTCCTGAGTCTTTTATCCGTTTTACTTTTGTATCTTTTCTAAGCGGAGGGTTTACCGGAAATAACATTTCTACTTTCTCAAGGTAGGGGTAAGGACTGCGTACACATTACCCTTCCCACACCCTAGATGTGGGATTTCACTGGGTTTTGTTTTGTTTGTTTGTTTTCCAGAATTCTTTTCGATTAGTTCTATCAAATACACTTCTCGTCCTTTTATTGCATAGTTTTATCCAGTACAATTTTTTCATGTTATTGCAGATAACAAGGCAAAAACAAAGGAAGATGAAGACAGCGATCAAGTTAAAAAATAGGGAAAAGGTCCAAAATTGCCCCTCTACTATGGTATATTGTTTACTTCTGCCACCCGTTATACTTTTCGTCCAAATCTATCTGTACCGTTAACAAAGTTTGCATAATTGCTCCTAACCCTAACGGATCTACACGTGGCAGCTGACCCCCTCAATTTTCTCCATGCCAGCTGCCAAGTCAGAGTCCATGTCACTATTTAAAAATATATTTTATTTATTACACTTATTTACTAAATCAGCAAATTAAAAAAAATCCCCAAAAAGGTTGCTTCTTCTTCTTCCTCAGTGCTTCTTCATCTTTGCTTCAAATATTTCGATCCAAACAAAATTTTTAACCAAACAGAATCGTCCACAACTTCTCCACATGAATATTCCCAACAAACTCCAAAACACTTAGCTCAAACTTCGGCAAATCAGAATACCCATCTTATGTTTTCGAGCTCTCTTACAGCTCCTTCAATGGTGATTTCAGTAGGTCCCACACACTGCCAGTTTTGGACTCCATATAACTCTTAAGACGGATCCAATTAGTTTGAAATTAATACATTAAACTATTAAAATCGAACTTCCCCACCACTACTTTCCAGATCTAAATCTCAAATCTCTTTCCAATCAAAATCCAGAATCTTCTTCTATGGCGGTTCGAACTCTGTACGGATTGGTGTTCTTAGCAGCGTCAAGCACTTGCTTAATCTTCCTCTACCTCCTTCTTCAACCTATCTTCTACTTCACTGCCTAATACGGCGGCGGCGCTATGAACCGACCCCGATTTGGACCGATCGCAGATGAGTCGACGAACCGGAAACATTTTTTACCTCCATCGCCACCTTCTGCTTCCAAATCCTCACACGGCGGCAACACGCAATTCCGGCGGGTCGGTTCGTAGCGTAATACAAGTATGTTGAATGTATAGCGTTTATATTTGGAAAAAAACCAGAGATATTTGCTTTTTATTTTGATGGATCTGGATTTGATTTGTGTGATCTCGTTTGTGTAAGTTGACCTGCTTGAAAATAGCTTTGTTATGTTGCAGATTACTTTTGACCCTTAATTCAAATGCAGAATATTAGAGGGGTTGGGTGGGACCTGCTGACTTGGCAGCTGACATGGAGAAAATTAAGGAGGTCAGCTGCCACGTGTAGATCCGGGGCAATTATGCAAACTTTGTTAACAGTAGGGATAAATTTGGACGAAAAGTATAACGGGTGGCAGAAGTAAACAATATACCATAGTAGAGGGGCAATTTTGGACCTTTTTCCTAAAAAATATAAAGTTAGATTAATAGGTCAACATACTTATAGATTGGAGTTCAGTTGCGAGAGTAATAAACTAACCCTGGCCGAGCTGGAACAACTGCACCAAACTAAGCAATTGGTTGATTAGAATATATTTCATTTTCAAACCGGTTTGGCTCCTGTCAATTCAGTTCAATTATCTTCTTAAAGCAACCCTAACCTAATAATCTGGATCAAATAAGTCAGGTTAGTTGAGACAAAAGAGGCTAAACCTAATGATCACATCGCACTTGATCCTTGCAACCAACGATTCTGAATTTTCGGATTGCACAAACAAGATCAAGTTTCAGGTCAGGAACCGGACTAAAAAGAGCCCTGACAAAGTATTGGCTTGATAAACTGGAACTATCTCCCAGAGGAGATACAATCGTACACTATAATATCTTTTGAAATAGGAACGATTTCGTGGATTGCAACTACATAATACAATATAAGCTGAGACCACTGAGAAAGCAAACGCCACTTATGTATCACATTACCAACAGGAACATCAAAATAACAGATAATCTACTTAAGTAGGCAAAATCATCTCTCGTTAATCTACTTAAGTAGGCAAAATCATCTCTCGTTAATCTACTTATGTAGGCAAAATCATCTCTCGTCTTTAAGAACCAAGTCTATACATTATATAATTAACTAGTGGTAATTTGATCATAAAAAATACTTACTCTCTTGCATGGCTTGAACAACAACAATAAACCCACTGTAATCCCACAAGTGAGGTCTGGGGAGGGTAGTGTGTACGCAGACCTTACCCCTATATTCAAGAAGGTAGAGAGGTTGTTTCCGGTAGACCATCGGCGGAAAGGTAAAAGGAAGGGCAACAACAAGCACACCAATCAGAAAACCGAAGCAAAGATACAAAACAAACACTAGGTACTGCAATCAAAAAGCCGAAACGAAAGCAACAAATAATAACAGAAGTCAAGGAATACGAGAATACACAAATGACACTAAGTCAAGTACTAAAGCAATTGTTACTGACACGGACACGCTCGGCTACCTAACCCTTTACCTTTATTCTCAACCTCCATACCTTCCTATCCATGGTCATGTCCTTAGTAAGCTGGAGCAAACTCATATCTTGCCTAATCACCTCTCCCCAATACTTCTTCGGCCTGCTTCTACCTCTCCTTAGGCCCTCTAGGGCCAACCTCTCACACCTCATCACCGGTGCACAAGCCTCTCCTCTTCACATGCCCGAACATCTAAGTCTCACCTCCCGCATCTTGTCCTCCACAGAGGCCACACCAACCTTGTCCCAAATAACTTCATTTCTAATTCTATCTAATCTGGTATGCCCGCACATCCATCTCAACATCCTCATTTCAGCCACCTTCATCTTTTGGACATGGGAATTCTTGACTGGCTAACACTCTGCCCCATACAACATAGTCGGTCTGACCACTGCTCTATAGAACTTACTTTTAAGTTTTGGTGACACATTCTTATCACACAAAACACCGAAAGCGAGCCTTCATTTCATCCACCCCGCCCCAATACGATGTGTAGCATCCTCGTCGATCTCTCCATCCCCTTGTATAACTGACCCAAGGTATTTAAAACTTTCTCTCCTAGGGATGACTTGAGAATCAAGTCTCACGTCTTCGTCCACTGCCTGAGTCGCACCACTGAACTTGCACTCCAAGTACTCTGTCTTGGTCCTGCTCAACATGAAACCTTTAGACTTCGGGGTCTGCCTCCAAACCTCTAACCTCTCGTTAATACCGCACCGCGTCTCGTCAATTAGTACAATGTCATATGCAAATAATATGCACCACGGCACCTCCCCTTGAATGTGGCGCGTCAGTGCGTCGATTGCCAAGGCAAATTGAAATGGGCTGAGGGCTGACCCTTGGTGCAACTCCATCATAACTGGGAAGTGTTCCGAGTCCCCTCCCACTGTCCTTACTCGAGTCTTAGCTCCATCATACATGTCCTTAATAGCCCTAATGTATGCAACATGAATACCTCTAGCCTCCAAACATCTCCACAGAACCTCTCTTGGCACTTTATCGTAAGCCTTCTATTAGTCGATGAACACCATATGTAAATCTCTCTTTCTCTTCCTATACTGCTCCATCAATCTCCTAACAAGATGAATAACTTTCGTAGTCAAACATCCCGGCATAAATCCGAACTGGTTTTCAGAAATAGTCACAAACCTCCTCAACCTCAGCTCTACCACCCTCTCCTAAACTTTCATAGTATGGCTTAGTAACTTGATTCCCCGGTAGTTGTTGCAACTTGGGATATCACCCTTGTTCTTATACAACGGGATCATCGTACTACATCTCCATTCTTCGGGCATAGTGCAGATGGCTTGAATTGGAAATATTTATGGAGTGCAAAGTCAAGAGTGTGTTATCTATTTCTGTCTTAGATGAAAATCTATATCCATTAAAGAGATAAACAGATAATTAAGCACTTTATATAGTGGAACACCACAAATGTTTCTTACAAGCTAGACATACATTTTACAAGGTTCTTTGAACAATTTCTATGTTAAAATGATCATCAGTCAGACATGCGAAATAATTAGT